CGGGAAAGTCATTTTTCTTCCCGTCATTTTTTTTCTGGACGGGAACGTTTGTATATGTAACGAATAACTTGTGATTAACAAGAATTTCCCATTTTGCAAAAAGTAGCTTGTTTTCCGTAATCCTGCTTGGAATTAATTTTCGCTATTTTCACTGAAGGAATGATTTAGTGAATATACAATTTTTTCTATCTTTTACATTCAACTTCTTAAAAATCAGTGAAAATAAATTCCCTACAAAACATTCAAAAAGTCTTTCAAACGAAAATTTATCCCAGCTATAATAAATACAGCAATCACGTGATTTTAATTTGTTTATGATTTTGCATTTAGAGAAAGCTAACCACAACTGTTTAAAATAAAGTATTGCAATTAGTGATTTCGCTGCGGGAAAAGGGAAACTTGAAACATTCAGCAAGAATTTGCTTTTCCCGAGCACAGTGATAAATTGAGTTTTATTTTTTACATAAATAGAAAAAAGATATATTGTATGCTTTGTATTTACTCATTGATAATATATACCATTGAATGCATCGATTACTGCACAGACTTAACCATGGTACAATACGTGGCCAATGAAGGACATTTGACGAAATTTGCGATATTCACAATATTTGTTGGCCAAATATTTGAGATACTAGTTTATTTTGCATTATCTACAACTGATCACCAAGCAATAAAAGATACACTGGGCTATTATTTCAACTACGTTGAGCTTTAGTGCGCTAGCCGGTGAATCTTCCTGATAAATATCAAATATGAAATATATCAAAACAATCTATGTGACTGGAGATCTCATGCACGCTTGCGGCTTGAATGTCCCCCGATTTGTCTCGTGTGGTAGCCGTATTCATCGCAAATGACTACACCGCTCGAGTTTAATATCAACTCCTCGTGAAAGGATACGACACAGAGTACCAACAGATTTTAGGTGCAACCCCGGTATCAAAATCGAGGTTGATATTGACTTTTCCGTTGTTAAAGTAAATCTTTCTGCTTCCTGCTCATGGCAACATTCAACATCGTTCCAGAATGTGCGTTGCGTTGAATTGAAACCACAACATACATAATATGTATTTAGACGAGATGATTTGTTGATTTGATTTGATTTGCTATTGATTTATACATGTCGGAGTAATGACACGTTATTGTTTTGATGAGATAATAATATCAATTGAATGATTATATTGCATGTATCATTGACAATAAATTAAAAAGCACAATATATTTTTCAATGAAAATAAAATTCCACCTTCTGAAAACCAGTAATTCTGAAAAGCACTACGCAACAAACTATGAATATCCCATCCATTGTTCACGGGACAGTTCACAAAATTCAGCGTTTCTTATCAATGTAAATCTATTTCAAAACCATATAATTGGTGTTACTAAGTAGAAGTTATTAAACTGGGTTCATGTAAGATACACATCATTTAATTTGCATTGGAAGTTAGAGTTAGAACAGACATATTCACATGTTTATCATTATGTAACTCTAAGAAACAATTTTAATATGGAAAGTGTATGAACACAACGGCGACACGGATGTACTCACGTATATTGTATTCATTCATACATGACGTAGGAAAGTTTAGAGTTGTTATAGCATATTTCATTAAATATTCACAGAAATATATATCTTAATTATAAATACATGTATGTATAAAATAATGCCTGAGTATGTAGAGTATATTATGGTTGGAGTAACTAGAATACTGGAGTTCGAATCAGCCATGTATTATCCTACGTACATGCATAGGGGATTTCAATTCACGAACATTACTTTCAAATAGACAGTACATACATGTGAGTGCAATGTAAGTTCATTTTTAGATAAAGTACCACTATGTTGCAATGTATTAACCAGTTTGAAATGTATTACAGTGTGCTCATTTCTCATCAGCAATAAACAAATTAAAACCCATGTATAGTATTCTTACATTATTTATTCATGCATGATTTACAAACACGTTAAACGCCACATTGAACACACAGCTTCCGTCGTGCCTATATAGCATAAGTGATGATGTGAGCGTTTAAAGCTTTTATAATTAATTGCGTAATTTATCCTTCTATTGCAGTACATTAACGTTACGAACATATCTAAATAACAAATAACAATATTTCATAATGACAACATTAACAAAGATTTAATTTAAGCAATAATGTCAGTTAGAAGTCGGTATCTTCCTTTCTTATCTCGGTCATCTAACGCACATATTTTGTTCATTCATCGATATCTCCGTGCGTGTGGTAAAGATTCAAGCTTTGATCAGCCACGTCTTTTTTCACCTTTGGGTTTACACCATAAACATAATGCCTGGACATATCAGGCGTGTAGCGACTGGCCTCTGGCGACCTACCAAGGGATTCTGCCAAAGCACACGTATAGAATGGCCGATTTCCACAACAAACACCAACAAACTGAATACCCATTTCCTTGCATGTGGATCCAAACCGTTTGATGTCTTCTCGAGAGCAGTAAAATATATCCGCATCGTGAGTATAAAACACGGGTTTATCTACAATAAATGAATACAACTATTAAAATTGCATCTGTTTAGAGTAGTAAACATCCATTCGTAATTTGATGATCAAAGTAATAACAATTATTTTATTCACTCCCTCATTTACACATGGCACGAAATAGCAAGAATGATAACAATTCAATAAATCCTTACTGGTCATTGGATCCTTGAGCATGAAGAAAGTTGGTTCTTCCTTTGTTGTTCTGTATGGTACAGGAATGGCAGCCAATGGACCCTGAAATTGAAATATATTCGTAACACAATGATAAAGATTTTCCGTTTTCGACATTGTGAAATTCTTTTGTTTTATGGAAGAAAATCGGAAATGTATCCTGTATGCACACATTAATAATTGTCAAAATTACCGATTACACATGAATAATAATCACAAAACATAATTTGTTATATTGTTTATAATTTTGTGCTATCCATTTGTCTTGAATCATGATTTGAAGAAGCTGAATGAAATTACAATACAAATAAGAACTTTAATAAAAATTGAATTTGACCTTCACTAATTTCACAATGTTGAAAACGAAAAGTTTATAATATATATTAATAACGAGTGGCGCAGGGCATTAATGGGCATACGATAATATTGTCTGACAAGAATGCATAGAGAGCGTGGTGATAAACTTTGGTATTTTACTAACAGAACATGCATCTTTTATTTCTTTCATTAATGGTATGATACTGTCAGGTCCACGTCGACAGTTTAGACCAACCACTGC